AACACATGTTTCTTCCTTCTCAACTGCCACTCAATCACATTACAACATAGCAACCAAATAGAAGCTCTGTTCTGTTTGGGAGAAGGGTTGTTGATCACTATACAGTGGGGCTGCAATCTCTCCAGTTGCTGCCAAATACCATCTTGACCCTTCATAGTGGAAAAGTTGTATCCTGCCTTGAAATCCATAGGAGATGCAACTTTAACACCATTTGGAACCAAGATAATCCACTGTTTCCATGAAGTAACTCAACAACATCAGGATGATCATCATTACAGAAGAAAAAGGACTGTTCTCCAAATTCGGCATCAACATACAGTTCGTGATCTTCACGTAAGTTCTCCGGATTCTCATCGTCTAATGCCGGTATGGAAACATCATGCCACTCATCGTGATCGCGTCTAACCTTTGACTGATTCACACGTATCACTGCCTTACCAGTATTGGCTTGGACCATAGCTCCTTCTTGTCCAAGTACTGTGGCACGAACCCAACGTCCTTTATCCTTGAACTTTGATGAATCCTGAGTCCAAACAAAAACCTTCTCTCCTTGGAAATAAGGACCGTCACTTGGCATAGTCCTCCTTGCAAGATCTGCTCGAAGGTCCTGAGCTTGTCGTGCTTCTTGATGAGCTCTCAAAGCCACACGTTGTAGTTCCAAATTTGTACGATCTTGTGCGGCGGCATTAGCTGACAATTGCTCAGGGCTTGCGGTCTCAAGGTCAAAAAGATCTGGTGGACGTCTTCCAGTTGCTATCTCTATTGGTGAATATCCACTGATAGTCAACTGACAATTTCTTGCCCAAACTACCTTCTTGACCACTTCTCTGACCGTAACACCACGAAAACGTGGGTCATCCAGATCTACCTTCATAACATGCCACATACGTTTGAACAAACGTACAGCTGTCTCTGCTCGGTTCGGCCAAGGAGTTCTTGGCCCACAAGGACATTGTTGTATACCATGGAACCTGTAGTATTCAACAAAAGCATCGGTGAAAAAGGCTTCGTCTCCTACGATGGCCTTTGGAACACAGTTGTTCTCATCAGACCATTGCCTCAATGCTTGGATGGTGGTTTGATCTATGAGGTCTTTCTGTGCCGTAGCCCAGAGAAGATTTGTGGCACCATCAAGAACAAGTAAGATGATATACTTGTTCTTGTGAAGTTCAACCTCACAATGATCAGCAAAAACAACATCACCAAAACATGAAGCTCTAATACCGGAGACTCTGGCTCGTGGCGGAGGTGCCACTGAAGTGTTACAAACACGGCAGTTCCTGACAACTGATTCATACTTCTCTAAAACAGAGTCAGGAAGCTTCAACATAGAAACACGTGTACGAAACTGAGTAGGACTCATATGGTAGTGCTTCACATGAAGCTTATAAAGCTCTACCTTGTCCTCCAGTCTCTGTAACATCTTCCTATATGCCGGTGTCATTGCAACAACTTCACTACCAGGTAATGGGATTGAAATCCGCCTAGGCTCAAGAGCGCCATCACCTGGTTCAAGTGGTTCATGTTTATCACTTGATGGTCCTTTTGATGCTTTAGGAATTTCTACAAGTTCACCTTCTGGCCTCTCAGGTGGTTCTGAGGGAGCATACTCCTCAAGATCATCACCCTTTAAATCATTCTGAGGCTCAGATGGTTTCGACTTGTGTCCCTTCCAAAATGGATCAAAACCCTTGGAAGTATACCGAAACTTTGGCGGCACGGGCTTTTCCGCGGCACTTGATGGTGCACCTTCCTTCTCTGACGAGAAGCCTGGTTCCCTGTCCTTTGCAATGGGAACCTTCTCTGAGGAGGAGCGCACCACTGCATCGGGATCACCAATGCCACGGTGCTCAATGCCAGCCTTCCTGATCTTTAGATCTGGAATTTTGGCATCTGGTTTGAACTTAAAAATTGTTCTACCACGCCATTCATAGCCAATTTGTAGGTCCTTCCATTTTGCCTTGCGCCAATCATCTAGCTTCTTGATTTCTTCTCCTCCTTTCTTCTTCTTGATGATTGTCAGTCGCAAGTCTTCCAGTAAGTCAGTGTCTACAGGACAGGACTTAGTTGCTGGAAAAAGAATCTTTCTATAATCCTTGTGGTGACGTATCAGTTCTCTCTTGTGAACATCTACTTCCCAGTAGTCAACCACAGGATATGCATGTTCAGCTACATCTTCATCACTATTGTGATCAACAGAAATATGACCATATTCATAGTGAGTGAAGTGAGAGTAAAAACTCTTCTCGCGCCGAGTCTGCAAATTCACGTCAGACAGATACCATGCAATATCTTGGAAGTCCAAGACAAGATGAGTACTGGCTGCAACCTTCAACTCCAAATATTTGATACCAAGAGGCACCGATGTCAGATAAGCATGTTGAGGTGTCAGCCTGAGTTCAAAGCCTAAGTTCCTCATCTGTGGCAAGCTCATAAGCAAAGGGACTTCTCCTTCTTCCACTATGTCGAACTCTGTATGGTGGATCGTCCATGCACGATCATACATGTAAATCACCAGTTTCTGAGAGCAAGTAGCCTTCTGGGAATTGGCAAAGTAAAACTTGCTCTTGGTAGCCTCAAAAGAGTACCATAATCCACAATCTGGGTGATTGTCGACATAGTTGCAAAAATGGTCGACTGCTCGCCTTGACCCCATAGCTCTAGTGCATCCAATGTCCAGGATTGCAATAGTCGGCGGGAAGCGATTCTCAGTCAAAAATGAAATGGCCTGCATCTCATTCACTTCTTCCTCAGCGCTCATAAGCGCAAAGCCACCAGGAGCCTTTGTGAGCATCTCCTTTGACAAAGAGTACCTCACAGGGGCACTCATGCCATTGAAGATCGTCTCACCATTGTTGACCGCGCAGTCAGCTTCATCTTGACATGAGGTCATCATGCCTGACAGCAAGTTCACCTCATTGTCATGGACTTCAGCTGCTGCTGTCACACAATGTGCAAAGAAACCTTGTTGACCTCCTGATGCTTGTGAAGATCTTGAAGGTGCAGGCAAAGAACGTGGCTGTTGTTGATTTGCATAGTTTGCATCTTGTTTGCCATCTCCTTTATCTTTTCCTTTTCCTTGCTTGCCTTTTCTCTTGCCTTTTCCTTTTCCTTTGTGGGAAAACCATGCTTCTTCAAGCTGTTGCCAAAAGTCATTGGCATCATCATATTCTCCTTGAAGATAGTTATTCATATCTTCGGCAAGAATGGCATCATATGCTACTTGGTTTGACTCCCAAGTGTCCTCATAAGGATTCTCTTCATAATACTCATCTGGAAAAGTTGTCTGTTGCTCATCAGCAAAATGGCCTTTACCTCGTCTCTTTCCTTTTCCTTTTCCACGAGGTCTGAAAAATCTGCGGCCTGATCTTCCTTTACCTTTTCCTTTTCTTCTTCCTTTTCCTTTGCCTTTTCTGGCTCTTCTTCCTTGGAATCTCCTTTGGAACCACGAGAAGTTTTGATCATCATATACCCAAAAGACATCGTCCAGGGCATCTAAAAATCCTTCTGTTCCATCTTCTTCATCTTCGGCCCAATAGCCAAATGTACCATCGAGTTCTCCTTCTTCCATCACGAGGAATGATCTTCTACCTCCAGCACCTGTCGGCTGCATCAAAGGATTGTCTACTGAAGTCTTTGTCGCGCAGAACATCTCAATGAAAACTGTCCTCAGCTCTGTTGTAGTGTATTGCTGCAGGACCCTGCCACGATGAGTCATCAAAGAAGTCAAAGTGTTTCGCTGGTCCTGAGACAAATCTGCAAGTGACAGCATGAGTAAGGCAATGAGATTTTCTCCTAGAGGAAATTCGTTCTGATGAAAAGTCCTCATATTGCCATTGATGGTCTGCATGATTTCCTGAATCCTTTCTGCCGTTGGTGCTACTCCAGTCAACGCTGCATCTGCCTGCATCTGAGCTAGGACCTGTGGATGTGCTTGAGTGACTGGTTCTAACATGTCCATCCAACTGCTCATAAGCCTTTGGAGTAAAATCTGGAATCTTGTCATCCATTTCATCATGTCAGCTGATCCTCGATTGAAGCGCACGAATTGCATGAACCTATACAGGAATACATTGGTTGATCCTTTCACGAAATATGGTCGTAGTACTCGTTTGAAATATTCTACGCCGGCTCCTGGTGGATCATTTGCCTTCAATGCATCTCTGTCTAAAACACGCTTGTATACAGCTGCTTCTCCTTCTAATCTGTTTCTCAATGCTGGTCCTCTCTTCTCATCTTCCAGCTCGGTGATATCACACCAATCGTCTATGGCATCCTCATAGGAAAACCATGAAGTCTTTCCATCATAAGATGGGGGGCACCTTTGTAGTGACCTGTGTTGTCATTGCTATTGCTGCTGGTTCTCTTCTCACATGCCTATTCACGTAGGCTGCTGGCTCATAAGCCACATCCGCATCAGGCTCTTCCCAGTCGTCTATCCAATCCATGGCTGTTTGCCCACTAACAAGTCTATGCCTAGGAAAGGAGCTCACCTGGGTCTTCCAGGATCACTGCTCCGCTACCACTGAAAGAGTGACTAGGGCGTACACGGTAGAGGTGCAGACCGCTAGTGTCTTTTATGCGCAGAGTCTTATCCTCTTGCTCTTTGAGCCTTGAAGCAGTCAAGTATGGACACACTATATCGGCTGTTGGAGTGGAACCCTGTACAGATAGGCTCTACCTTTCAGGGGGGGGGGGTCTTCGACCTGAAAAATCAGGGATTAGGATTTCCACCCGGTCGAAAGAACCCTTGCTATCGCAAGAGTAACTCCAGCTAGCTTCGCTAGCTTTCGTGATATGACTTCAAGAGTCTTGGCGCGACTCCAAGAGTCTTGTTTCCTTCGTTGACAACTGGGTTGACAAACGGGTCCTCCCCATCGGTTCCAATGAGTGTTCCCACCACTTCTCGCGGGATCGCCTCAGAGATCCCTAGAGTGCGGAAGACAAATCCCACACCGTCTTCCCAGAAGAAGGGTCTGCTTAGTCGATGAGAACGGCAGGAGAAACATCTTCGAAGAGGGTCTGACGGTGGGCATCCAGCATCCGGGCCTGCCCACTGGCATGCTGATGTCCTGTGCTGAGAAGCAGGTCCACCTGCACGTGCTGGACGTCAATGTGCCTCGTTGCATTGGTCCCTCCAGAAAGGAGGAGAGGTGAATGGCAGACAAACCAACGTGCCAGGCCTTTGTATATTTTGGCTTGAGAAAGAAGTGCAAGTCTCCGTGCAAGGATTCGTAAATCCTGAATGATCTGAATGGTTTGAGCAGGTTTGATTTGGACGTGTGCACACCTTGCCTTTGATGTCATTCTTGTTCAGGATAGTCTTTCTCTCTTCGGTTGTTGCTGACATGAGAGCCCATCCTCCAACCAACCGCCACGGCCGCGGCGAGGCCTACCTCGATGCTCCGGGCATGGCGGAGGTCGAAGCCTTGGTCCGACGCCGCTCGGTGGGAGTTTGGTTTCTGGACCACTTGGACAAGCCGTTGGAGGCCAACTTGCCCTTGTTCCCGCCCAACATCGAGGACGTATGGAAAACAGTGGAAACATATGGAAAACCAAATCTGAAGCCACTACATGTGGCGCATTGGGAGCTGTTAAGTCCTTTCCTAGTCACTAGTTCTAAGTTCCAACTTCTTGGGAAGTATTTTGAATTTAGGAAGGTGGCCACAGCGCGTGTTTTGCGAGACTCATGCCAAGCATGCCCAGTCAACGGCCCCCGTTCCTTTTCTTCCACGGGCGAACCCGTGCAGGAAGATCTGACTTTCAAGCCGGGTGAGGAGAAGCCAGCGATCAGCTTCACTTTCGAGGTGGGGTGACCGTAGGAGTCTGAGCTGAACTGAATTAGATGCGAATATATTTGGGCAAACAGACAGGGTGTGGACTAACAGTTATGGTCCATTCATGGTCAGTCCTGTAGCCTGATTGCAAGATTTGTCTCCGGCCGCTTCAGCTGAAAATGGCTCTTTAGAGCGCAGGCTGCTGGAAACGAGATCGAATTCCGCAGTGTGCGCGAAACGACCGTGCGATGTGATCGCATCCTGACCCCTGCAGAGGCTGGATGGGCGGTGGGCTGTGGATGAAGATGGTTCATCTTCCAAGAGAGGTTGAGAGACCACGACCCTGTAGTGGTACATACGGGATGGGCTATAGGGCTGTTCAACCTCTCTTGGTTCCCATTCGGATGGCCCAGCTTTTTTGATCGCTTTTGGCCGATGAAATAAACGCCCCTCCCAAACCAGAAGACAGGTCGATGGCATCCACCGAAGAACTCCTCCCGCAGACTGTGGCGCGCTCGTACAGGCGGGTACGCTGATCTTGGCCGATGAGGGCAGCGACGTCGGGCAGCTGCTCGGACGGCTGCGCAGCTATGCGGTGAAGTTTCGACAAGCCGACCTGGCCAGAGAGAGTGGGTCGGCCTTGGAGTATGTGCTGCTTGATGCTCGGCCAAGACAGTCTTTTCTAATCTACTCCTGATCTTCATGAGTGATGACGAATGAGACTGACCAATCCCCTCAGTACAGCCTTCCCCAGACACTCTCCAAGAAGAGTACTTCTCCCACATGGCCAAGGAGAAGGAAGATCTTCCTGGTCCTCTCTTGGCCACGGAGCAACTGTTGCAAGGCTGCATGGCCATGGTCGATCGGCAGGTCGGCGCCACCTTGACGCCCTGCGCATGGAAGCACGTCACCGGCACGGAGGAAGACGAGGTCGCTGTGGCGGTGCGATACCTCCAGGGCCAAGCAGATCCCTCAATGCGGAAGGTGGTCGAGCGATTGCTCCGGTTGAAAGTGAATGAAAGGAACAAGGAGATCCGGCTGAAGGAGACATGGCGGAGCTTTCATTGTTGATCATAGAATCATAGAACATTATATTATTATATGCTTTATTACATCGACCACTTACGGATGTTTGAATGATCTCAAATTATCTAGAACCATATCACAGGATCTTGAAGTACAGAATAGGTACAGAGGTGTTCTGTAGGTGATCCTGACGTTCTGACGAGCCAAGCCAAGCTGCGTCCCCTCAGCTGAGGAGATCATGCAGACGCTGCAGGAGATTTTATCGCAACCTGGGCTCAGCAAGGTGCAGAAGCATGCGTGCCAGGCGAGGTTAGGTACTGAATGGTCAACATGTGTCTCCATGGATGCAATTTGAGGAGTGTGCAATGTTCAAGAGCACACAGCTCAGAGTTCGCGTCCGCGTAGCCCATCACTGGTCATCTCTGAGTTCTGCCGCATGCCGCTCATCCCTGGTGCCAGTCCTCCTTTCTACGTCGCTTGCATGCGGCCATTCCTTCAGCTTACTACGAGGTCACGAACCTCGTGGATTCGGCGCAGCCGGATTCGGCGGCGGACTGGTGGCTTTGTGAGCCCCGATTCCATGCCGCTTGGGGCAAAGAGGTGTGAAGAGGTGTGGATGTACGGCGGGTCAAACGAACCCGAACTGTATGGGAACATACCTGGATGACAGCCAGCATGGATATGGGTTGAAAGACGACAAGTGTCTAGCTTTCTTTTTCAATTGCCTTGCAGCTTCTTCGTTGGTGTGTCTTCCTGTCCAGCTGGGCTTTCCTTGTTGGGATGCACATTCTCACCAAAACATAGCAGGCAGCCTCACTTTGGGCACCAGGTCCACTTCAACGAACCGAAACACCAGAGTTTCAACAAGCCATCCAGCACGCGTTGGCCAAGGTCACCTTGCCCTTGCAACGCTACATCGATATCCTCGGCATGCGTGCCTTTAAGTGTCAGCAGGGCTGGACCAGCGCTGCGGCGCTGTCTCCGCACCTTCTGCTGAAGCAGGTCGACTTAGAGGAGGCCATCGCGCGGACGAACTGCCGCTGGGCTGCGCAGAGCTTTGGGCTCTACATCTTTCGGACCATCTCCAGGTGAGGTACGCCGTGACGCAGTGTGTGTCAGGTGTGTGGCGGTAAAACTAACCCCGCACCACCATGGGCTTGGTTTTGCGCACGTGTGAGGCAGTAAGGTCAGTAGGTCTTTCGCATTGAAGGACCCGTGACTATGGTTGTTTCAAAGCCAGCAGCAGGAACGAACATATTCCTTATAAAGTTGGCAGAATGTGGCTTGCAGTTTGCAGGCAAAGTATCGCTAAATGATTTGCCCGACCTCGTTTCAACCTGACACACGGGTTAAGCGCCAACAGGCTTCTTCCACTTTGGAAGAGGAGTATATCGACTCATCGTCCATGAGCTCCCAACAGAGGTCGAAGAAGTGTAGACTATCCCATAGGTACCCCAGAGTGGTCCTAGTTCAGGTCACTTAACCTCCCTTGGTTCGTTCATCTCGGGGATCGGGCAGCAGCTGACGCGGTTCTTCTGCGCGCAGGATGCGAGAGCTCTTGGGCAGTGGGCAGCGGTACTCAGAGGCGGTGATTGGAGCGGTGGGTCCGAAGTACCTCAACGTGCTGATCCCTTCGGAGACGACGCAGATCTTGGAATCCCTGCCGTAAAACGTGGGTTTTTGCTCGACCAGTGACCAGGGTCGACCGTGCTAAGGTCTAAGAGGTGGGCCAAAAGCGGATGGGTGGATTTTTCGTTCGGTCTCTTTCTTTGAGGAGTCGATCGAAAGGAACGAGTCACAGGGTCTCCAAAGAATGTTAAACCTTTTTTTGATATCCCCCTAGAAGTCGAACCACCATTGTTTTAATAGCCTTTACGGAACAACCATTTTTAAAATGGTCTTTGACTTCCAGGGATCCCTGTTACATCCTGTAACCAAAACCCTTCCAGAATCACCCATAGGGTGTCAAAACCAGTTCTTCTGCACGTGGTCAGTGTGACCACTACTGACCTGTTCTGACCTTTCTCATTCGAGGGATCAAGCCCAGAGGGCCCGATCCGTACGGCGGTTTTGACGCGGAGTGGGACGCATCGAGCGGCGTGAGGAATTGAAGGTGCCCGTGAGCTCGTTGTGCAGCTCCAGCTGTATCTCAGAGTATGACCCGGTCACGCAATCGACGAAGCTCACCATGCAAAATGGCAGGCCGCGGCCGCGGCTTTCTTTACAAAATGAACATCAACCATCTTGGTAGTTCTGAGAAGGCCTAACAAGAGCGGACATGAGCCCGACATCTCAACCACTCAACCCAACATCATCACTTCTGACCCACCACGTTTTAGCCACATATTAGCCGCATGGAACCCGCCTTTTGAGTGGTTCAACCTCGCAGGGACGTGGACACCTTGCGGATCTCTTCCTGGCACGCGCCCCGCATGAGCTGTGTCATCGCGCGGAACTTCGCGCAGCCCATTCCGCACCACGCCAGTCCGAATTCCATCGTGGTCTCCGAGATGAAATTCCATGCCCAGAAGGAGTTTTGGGGCCCGTTTCCTGAAATGAGACGCGTTGCGTGTTTGATGGAGGAAGTGGATGAATTTGCATGTTTTGGAGGGAGACAAGCAGAACTGGCCCAATCTACTAACTACATCTATATAACTGCCATTTTCATATATGTTCACTTTCCAGAGACTTCTTTTTTACATACTCCCCTGAAGATTAACATGGACCCCCAAAACCACTGGTTGGTAGAGGAAAACCATCTTCCACAGGACCAGTGTAGTTCGGGTTTCTGTGAGTTTTCGGGAGTGAAACTCTTCGTGCAGTTGAAGAGTTTGGAGCGCAGGACTTCGTCTTCGCCATCGGTCTCAAGAGTTTTCCGGAGTCCTTCTCCTCTTGGCCCGACTTGAGTGATTGGCCGCAGCTGGACCGGAAGGTCCGGCGGGGGGTCGGGGCTTTGGCCCGGGTTGAAGCCGGTTCTTTTTTTACATGCACAAGGTGAAGCAGCACGAGTTGGAGAGGACCATGTCATTCCCCCACATCAAATGGTCCCACTTCAAAAGGAAAGACCTTCAACGCTGTCAAACTCTTAACGGCGGATCGTGGAATTGATGATCATTGTGAAGGGCTGGCGGCTTCGCAGTCTGAGGCCGAAGTCAGGGAACTCAGAATTCATTGAACATGTCACCATTTTTTGTGTCCAAACAAACTCCGAGAGGTGGAGATCTATTCGCAAGTCTGGTCGCGGATCAAGTCCTGCCAAGCGCCTCGGCTCCTTTTTCAACCTGTTCAACTGGATGTTCAGGGTAGAAACTTGAGGACCTGCCTGGTTGGCCTTTAGGTTGCAAAAGGATAGTTGAATTCTTTGGTGAGCACATGTTTGACATCATTTTGCTTATTGTGCATCCGACTTTACATTCAGAGGAAACTAGTGCACGGGTGAGCCATCATCCAAAAGATGGCAAAAGATGTTTTCACTTCCGACAGACATGGAAAGCATATTCTTTAAGGGTCTGTCTGAGACCTGCAGACAGCATGTTCTGACACTTCCTGCCTCGAAGGTCCATGCTGCAGCGGTGGCCAGTGGCGATGCCTACACTCCAGCAAGTCGTGTGAGCAACATCAAATGGTTTCAGGCAAAACATCGGCTTTTTCTACGCAGTGACACAGTGAGACTCTGAAATTTCTTCAAGGGTTTCCTCAGGACATGATTTTTCTCAGGCCTCCTCGCGGTTTGATTGGACGCTTCTGAAGGTCCAACCCATTCCTGTTTGGGCAGTCTAGCCTCTAAAGTTCTGAACCTCTTCCCAAACTTCCAGCAACTCTCCCCACTCCCAACCCTCCCTTCTCACTCCCTTCCCACTTCAAGGCCGACGGCCAATGGACCTTCCGCTGCGACGTGGACGTGAAGCTCTCGGAGTCCCAGTGGCTTCAGCCGGGCGACTTGGCCGTGCTCACCGCCGAGCGCGGCGCGGCGAGCGCCGCGTCCCGTCCGGACGCCGCGGCGACGCTGCAGGGCCTGGTGCGGTCCGTCCGCGCGGCGCAGCGGGCGCGGGCGACGGAAGCGAAGGATGAGGGGAGGAGGCTTTGTGTGGAGGTGGAGCTGTCAAAAGTGGCGCAGCTTGCAAGAGACGTGCAGAAGCTGGGAGTGTTTGATGAATCTTTTTGTAATTCTTTGTGGTTCTTTCTGTCGTTTAAACAAGGCTAATCATAGAATTCTAGTTCGTAGTAAGGCGAAGCTGTCAATCATTTTGCATTTTCCCCAAGTCAGCATGAGGAAGCCTTTCCTGGATGTCGCGGAGGTTTGGCACCTCTTCTGCACTTGGCACCTGTGTAACTCATCTAGGGTTCCCATTCCATTGTGATCGTCATATGGTGCAGGATGGGCTGTTATCCAGCTATTACATGTTTCAAGTATGGTTGCGTATTTCGTATCTTCAAGATCTCCCTTCTGTCGTGCACAATCACAAAGATGTTTCTTGTGAAAAGAACATATCACTTGCTAAGGCAGTTGTACTTCATTTTGGTTCCTTCCAACGAGAAGAAGAGCATCCAGCTGCTCCAAGACATGCGGAAGTCTCCACCGCTGCAGGGCATGCGACTCGAAGAGGGAGATGGAAATGCGGCCCTTGGTGACGAAAGAAGAGGTGAACTGTGGCGACAAAAGTGAGTTTACTTCCCATGGGTCGCACGAGCAAAAGTGAGTTTTCTTCCAGATTTCAAAAGAGATATATTTTGGCAGTGGCCCCAGAGACCTTGAAGCTCAAAGGCGTTTTCATGATCTTCGTGCCAAGATGCACCCACATACATGCGGTCACCGGTTTTCTTTGCACCACCTTCAGGTGAGTCGTGCCATGTGCTCAGCTTGCAGTCGGGCCACTTTGAACGAGAAGCAAACTCTGGCCGTGCAACGCGGCCTGCAGCGGCCCTTCTCCATGGTGCAGGGGCCACTTGTAGCGGAATCAATGTGCTTACTGTTTTGCCCTTAGGAGTAGACAATATTTGTATAAGAGCTTTGATGGAACATGACCAAAGTCCCAAAGACAATTTTCCTTCTACAGGGCAACTCTTTTTCCACCAATCTATCTCATCAAACTGCCTTGGATTTACCTTCTTTTCTTGCGGTTTGGGTAGAGGTCTTCCCTTTCACTCGACTCAAACCAGCACCGCTGACCCCAAAAACTGCACCCCGCCCGCACAGAGACACGCAGTTTGCTTACGCCTAAGGCCACCCGGCACGGGAAAGACGTCCTTCCTCGTTCAGTTCGTAGCGGCGCTGCTTTCAGCACCCCGACGACGCCAAGGCGAGAATGCAGTGCCCGCTGGGGCGTGCGGCAGGTGCGCGGTGCGCGGCAGGGGCGCAGAGGCACTGGGTAGAAGAGTGTAGAAGATGGTAGAAGATGTATAAAGGAGTTTGAGTATAGTAGGACCTTAGCCGTGGACTGCATTAGAAGGCAAGAGGAGACGCTCGAATGTTTGAAGGACAATGTTTATCATTTTTTGCTGATAGTGCTTCCAGGAAACCACAGCGTACCTAGTACCTAGCATCGGAGAAGCCTACCTTCAGGTAGCTCTGTTGTGGATTTGCCTTCAAAACCAATTCGACCCACCAAAGCTACGATGTGAAGCAAACAGTGATAAGTCACCTAGACTAAGGCGGTCTTGGGCTCACTAGGTGTTGGTACTCGTTGTAGGTTTTCTAGACTCATTGCACCTTTCACCACTCTTAATCCGTGCAAGTGAATTGACTTCTCCTGCCACTGTCCATTCGCGCACCGTCCAACTGCTGGGCGCAGGCGGGCGGATCTTGGTGTGTGCTCCTTCCAATCACGCGGCCGACCATCTATTGGATAGGCTGATTAGCGCTGGTACCCCGCCGCACTACATGACGCGAGTCTATTCCAGGTTCATTGAACGAGCGCATGGAAGCATGTACAAGGGAGGGACTCTTTCTCCGCTTTGTTCAGCAAACTTTTGTCTTATTTGAAGAAGAGAATGCTGAGATTCGTGCACTTTTGTCAGTTTTGCTTTTGGGGTGTCAGCCATTTGTTTTGCAGTCTGACCCATGATTGTCTCTGACCCCATCTCGAACCAGCCGACTTTGAAGAGATGCTCGACCGTACGTCGCCAAGCGGCTGCACTCCCCCACCCTTCGTTCCTCGCGATCGGCATGAGGACCACGCGGATGGAGCGAGGCTTTGACATCCAGCCGCACCTCGAAGAACATGCGCTGCACTGGAAGGTCAGCGAAGTCCAACAGGCAAGGGATGACACGAGCGGAAATGAGCCGAACGGAAAGCAGAAGTCCTGGGCCGTTTTCGTTGCGCCCAGGACGTCATGCAGTTCTTCACTTGGTGGACATGCCACATGTGCTTGAAAGGGTCGCCATGCTTCTCGCCACATCCAGTCGCCCTATTTCCTTCGGCCACAGCCGGCCAGGTGAAGTTCACCGGTCCTCCATTGAGTCGAGACGCCTTCGACCGAAGCTACGAAGCATCAGAGGTCAAGGTCTTGAAGGACAGTCGTATCGTGATCACGACCTGTACCACTGTGCCCTGGGCCTATAATAGTTTACAGGACAGCATGATGAAGGGTCTGTCGCCCTGGATTTCACCGTGGGTGGAGTTCGGTGGGTGGAGCTGGAATCTTCGGTTGGTGGAAAGGGGAAGGTTTGCGCTAGGGGAAGTGTTTTGTATCTTTGGCACACTCAACCGCACGCCTGGTAGCCAGGCCTGTGGCACACATACTGTGCGCCGGTCTTGATGTCTCCCACCGTCCATGAATCCTTTATCCAAGGCATATCTCCATACTGCTCTGGTGCAAGGGGAGCCACAATGGCCATCCCGCTCTGTGCAGTGGCAGGGCCCATGGCAGGGCCCATGGCCAGGCCCTTGGCAGGGCGCTTGGCACCCATGGCAGGACCCATGGCAGGATCCGTGGCAGGATCCGTGGCAGGGCGCCTGGCAGGGTCCGCGGCAGGGTCCGCGGCAGCGTCCATCAGTGTTGCGGCCTGTGAGCTTTGACACCATCGTCATTGATGAGGCTGCGCAGGCGAGTGAGCCAGATATCGTGCTGCCCGCCAGTGGTGCCAGCTGCCGCGTCATCGTGGTGGGAGATCACAAGCAGTTAGGATGGGTCATTGTGCATCCGGTTCTTCTTTTTTGTATGTGTGGTAGATTATATAGCAACAAAACACTGAATAGTGGGGCCAGTGATGCTTCCGCGAAGATGGTTGAGGCCAGATCATACATAGAAATAGATATGTCGGCCGCCCTTGCCAGGACCAGTGGTCACGGAGAACAACTTATGTGCACCCTACGTGAGCGCTTTGGAAACTCCATTTCTTGAGCGAATGCTGCAGAACCCACGCCGATGGCTCTCAAGCACCATGCTGAATATGCAGTAACTTGGGCTGGTAGCGACTGCCTTGATAGCTGCAAAAGCTCAACCTTCAGGAATACTTCCAAAGCACGACTTTCATTTCGCACATCCATGTTAGAAGGTCCACCAGGCACCATACATCACATATTTCCACCCCAAGACTTTGTGAGTAAAAGGATTTCTCTCAATGAAACAACGTAACGCAGGAGTGCGCATTCTGTTTGAGCTTTTGTGAGGCGCTTCGCATGGCTTTTTGGCATCCTATCATGCACAATCCACACTTCTGGAGCCTGAAACACCACGGTTTTCAGGAGGAGGGTGTTTTCCCAAAGAAACGATCCCTCTCCATCTCCGAATTCTCCATCCCGTCCATCGAACCTAAAAAGAGGCAGCCCAATCAAAGAACCAATTGCAACTGTCTGGATTGGTCTTTTTGCATCCTTCAGTCTGCCGAGAAGACTTTGGAACTCGTGTGATGTCGGGTGGTGCAGCGTCTGGGTGCTCGGTGGCTCGTGCTGCGCTCTCTCCGCTTTCGCTCTCCTCCGCCGGTGCGTGAACGCCGGCAGACCGGCTCGGTATCGCGTCCGCACCGTCGCCCCGAGGTATCGCATGCATCCATCGATTCGATCCTTTCCGTCCTCGCAGTTCTACGAGTCCAAGTTGGAGGATCAGGTTTGTATCCCGCACCGAGTGGAGCTGAACTGCATCTGGCCTGACGCCAAGGAGTGCCGGATGGTCTGGTCGGGTTTGGGGGAGCCTCACCGGTGGGTAATAGCCTCACCAATGTTGATGGATTTCACGTAAACGCTGCCCCTACGTGACTGTTGGCTTCGTGCTTGGTGGAGGATAAGAGGGAATCACAAGAGGGCAACTGGCATGCTTCGTGCTTCTAGCATCTCTTCAGAGCCCCTTTCGCACCCACACCAGGTGACCCAGCACCCAGCACCACACCCCTCTTCAATCCCCGACCAGTATGGGTTCCGTGATCCACGTGTTCAGCGACGTTCGGCAGGAGCACCGGAGCTTCGTGGACTGCAAGGGCTCCCAGTCCATGGGCTTATCGCCGGAGCTGAACCGCACCTGCGACGCGGCCCTCATTGAGAGTAAGGCGCCTGTCACGGGTGGGGGCCTGCAAAAATGGTGCGAGGTACAAGGAACACTAAGCAACACTAAGCAACTAATATACTATGGAGATGTTGGGATGGTTTTGGGGATGGTTTTGGAGGGCTAGGGAAAAGATTTGTTGTTAGAGTCCGGACCCGGCAAAACCAAGTCTAGAACACCGCCACTGATGCAAACACATGCAAATAGAAAGGGCTAAGAACTTCTGCTTTCTCCTGCTGTACTGTGTCCAGGTCTCCCTGAAGAACGTGGGAGAAGCTCAGTGTGTGGTGGCCGCCTGCAAGGCCCTGCTGCGGAAGAGCTGCTCCGCAAGGGACATCGCAGTGATCACGCCTTACAAGGCACAGCAGCATGAGATCCGCGCCAGGCTAGGACCTGGCCAAGCAGGGAGGATGGTGGCATGGTATGCCTGGTCTGCTTTGGTGATACGAGTACTTCACCTAGAAGATAGTTAGTATAGATGTTAGGACCGAGGAACAAGCATGGATATTAGCTATTTCTGATCTATTACGGTATCATTCATCTCACAGGTCTTCGAGCCGATTCTACGCAATCCATTAATCCACTTGCGACTTTGATCTCATCCACTTACCACGCCCAACTCGGCACCGTTCGCCCGCCCTCGCCCTCAGGTTGGAGCGTGACGTTGGCTCGGCCGCCGCATCCATCTTAGTGGGCACCGTTCACGCGCTGCAGGCGAAGCGGGAACACAAAGTTCCGGTAGCTGAACCCATCCAGTGTGAGTTCTGGGCACCCTTCTTCCTCAAGCATTTCTTGTTTCTCACTGATATACGTACACCTACTGTATATAGTCCATGTTTCCTTTGACCAGCTGTACCATCATGTGACGCGTGCCACACACACAGCCTCCATAGCTCCGTTCAGCGAGCGTACTCCCGCGAGAGCTTCGGCAGGGCTCGGAGCGGGAGTACATCATCGTGAGCTTCGTGCGCAGCATCTCCGAGGACGTGGAGGACGTGGTGAGCAGCGCGGTCGCCTCCGTGGGGGACTCCGTCGCCCTGCAGGTAGGGGACGAAGAGAGGGCGGTGAGCGGAGTTCGGGGGAGGGTGGTTGGGGTGGAGGGGCCTTTTTTTTAAAACTGGGTACCAACTCAACAGAGTGTGTGGTGGTTGCGCCCTATGGTTGGCTGAATAGGTTGCTGAAGTGTCGCAGATAGAAGTTTGAAAGATAGGCTGAGATGGCATTCCTCTTCTATTGCAGCTCATTGCAGGAACTTCACATGGAAAGCTTGGGCATTCTCTCCGACTACAAGCTCCTGAACGTCGCGATCACACGTGCCAAGTATGGCCTGATTTGCGTCGGCAACGCGGATGTGCTCAGCAAGGGATCAAAATACTTCAATGCTTTCATCCACAGCTTACGAAGCTGCATTGTGAGCAAAGAGGAGTTTCTTCGGAGTGCGCGCTGGGCACGTGGGCGCATCAGTCCATGAGGTGCCAAGAACCATTGATCCAGATCTTCCCAAAGAGCACAAAGCAAATTCGTTCTGGGAAACCGGCCCAGAGAAGATACTTAGATACTTAGCTTCAGAAAGGTACCGCAGCTTGCGCTCAGTCACCTTCACTAGTCTTAGCTCTCCTTCTTCGACCAGCCCTGACAGAGGCGGCCATTTTAAAACGGCGCCACAGTGGGGGCTGACGGGGGATGGGAGTGGACGTGAATTCTTGCCTTGAATCTGGAGTCCTATGCTGTTCATCATGTCTTAGAGTCCGAAGACAACTCATGTACACTCTTGAGGACCATTTTCACCCTGCAGATGAAGAGGACTTCCAATTCAAATGGAAGGGTGAAAATGGTCCTCAAGAGTCTACATGATTTGGATCGACATCGTGGATCGCTGTGACCTCTCGAGGTTTTCTTTAGGTTCGACCTGTCAGTCTCGTTTTCATCATCCTTCCTCTCTGCGAACGATGTGGAGGAGGAAAGAACCAGAAGCACACATCATGTTGACCGCTGATCTTTTTTTAAAATTTCCTTTATACCTGACCTTGGTTGACCTTTGTCAACAAAGCCATCTTTTTTACTGTTTTTTGGACCTTGGTGGATACAGATCACCCAGCGCTCACGCACCGTCTAAGTCTAAGCTCCTGGGAGCTGGGAGCTCGTCAATTCCAAAGGAAACCGAGCTTTCCATTTCAGTCGATGAGGCCAGGCGAACCGATGGCACCATGGCAGTTTTGGATCAGACACCTCTTGACACCACCGTTGATGTGACACTCACCGAACGGTGGAAGGGAGGTGAGCGTTTCGTGTCAGCGAGCTTTCCGCACACACCAGTGGTGGTTCTGGATGCTCAGTTCTTCATGCTTCGAAATGGTTGTGATGGTGCGAGGTGCGGCACCTCCCAATTCCAGGTCGCTGGAAGTGAAAGCTTGAAGATGAACAGATCAACGTTTTGTCCTCATTATCACAGATACAATGGCCTAGCAACTTAGTCAAAGGGACCGTGCACAGTTAAGTCATGCGTAGAAGCAGAATCAACTTGAGGGTTGAACTCGTCTACACCTTAAAAGTCCTTGGAAGTTAAAGGTGACAAGCGTTTCTCCTCAAGCAGCTTCCTAACCCATTCACTTGCATGATCGTAATCATGGCCCAAACGTAGAGTCTATAGTTCTCATGCTCTCAACAAAAATGCACGCGCCACCGAGCTTGGCTTTTTCAATGGGAAGAGCCCGGAAGAGCTTCCAACGTTCGCTGCTCCACCTGCCTACATCTGATCAACCCCCTACCCATGGCCCAGGGTATTTACCTTTCCCGTGAATTGCATAGGGAAGCACATTCTCACAATATCCCTGCGATCAATGGACAATTTGGGCCTTTGTTCAACCAGTCTTTCCTTTTTTTGTCCACTGGTGCGATGGCGTGCGATGGAAGTGGAAGTGACGACCAGGCGGCGATCGACGCGCCATCAACAAGTCTCAACACCCGTCCGGTCAACAACTCTCGGGGGACATGTGAAAGTCCGAAAGTTCGTGCACCATATAGGAAAACGATGGAAGTTGCGTTGGTCAATCCTGTTCTTTTGATGTTGTAATATGTTCAGGTGGTGCAGGATATTGTTGTTTGTTTCCATTGAACATCAGTTCAGCTCATTTAGGTGTTTAGACCTGATTGAAGATGGACATGTCCGAACACTAACAAATTTTCATGTGCGGTACGGGAACATCTAATGTATTTTGACACAGGCATGTCGTATACATATCTTTTTGGGAGTTGCCGTATGTTCGATCGGCGTCGTCGTGGTGGTGGTGGTGGTCGTAGTAGTAGTAGTAGTAGTAGTAGTAGTAGTAGTAGTAGTAGTAGT